GGGAGCCTCCTCTGGACTTGAGCGTGTGTCAGTCCCCGCTCTGCGATGACAGGGAACTGGCCTCTCGCTGCGGAAAGTTACGGGGCGGAGGAACCCACGTGCTGAAAAGCCCTGTGTTCTGCACACAAACATCGGGGCCCAGGGCCGCCTCTCAAAGGGCCCATTCAGCTCCTCCCTGGTCTTCCAGCTCCCACAGGGCTGGGCTCGGCCCCACGGGGCTCAGCTGCCAGGCCCGGCAACCCTGGGCCAAAGACGCTGCCTCTCTCTACTGACCCTGGCAGGAAACTCTGACGGAGGGTGTAAGGGGCCCATGGGCCACGGGGCTCAGCAGCATAACCAGGACTCAACCCCAGGAAGGCTGTGGGTCCAGGGGAGCCCAGTGAGCCCAGGTGAGGAAACCGGGGCCAGGAAACGGCCAAGTCAGTCGGCACCTATAGATTCAGACTGTGTCCCCGCAGCCCAAACAGAACTCAGGATAACGACTGACCAAACAAAGAAAAAGAAACTGGAACAACTTCAAGACCCAGAGTTCAGGAAGTGATTCCCCTGCCCCGGGAGGCCTGGCCAGGCCCGCGGAGAGTCCCAGGGGAACAAAGACTTTCTCCAGCAGGTAGACCAGTAACACTGTGGGGACAGGGCGTGTCCGCGCCCGGCACCTCAACAGCAGCTTCCACAATGGGGCTCCGTCTTCCTGGGAGCTGGATGCTAAGTCATGACCCTTGATTAGACTGCAAGGGGGGTATTCTCTGCTCACCCCAACTTTAAAGGTGCCCACACCACCCCAGGGGTGCGCACTCTCCTACAGTCAGAGTTAGGGGTGGGCTGATGGGGATTTCTTTCTTTTCTCTCCTTGTTGTTGCCCTGCTTCTGAGAGTCGAGAGTCGGCTGCAAGATGCTGGCCACGCTGCAGAGGTGGAAGGGCACTTAGGGGAAGTGCACACAGCGCCGGACCCCGCAGGGGGGTCCACAGAAGTGACTGGGGCTGGGGCTGCTGTGACTGGAACGGTGTGGTCGGCAGGGCCGCTGACCCCGGGGAGTGGGTTGGAAATGCACAATCCCAGGCCGGCTGCACCTGAACCAGAGTCCCGGTCAAGTTCAGGAGGCGCACTGACCCCCAGGGCCGGTGAAGGGGGCCAGAGCAGCGGAATCACAGCCACCTGGGCTCCCAGGACCGCAGGGGCCCCACTGGCTGCAGGGTCCCCGCCGTGAAGCTGGGTGAGGGGGGGTCCTGGAGAAGGGAGGCAGGTCCACACCCTCCAGCCGGCCCCCCTCTCCCTCCTCTGCCACCTGCCGACGCCGCCGGCTTCCCTCCAGGCCCCTCCGGTCCCCAGGGCACTCCCTTCCCAACTCCGCGGGGCCTGCCAAGTCCCACGCGCCGGCCCGATGGCCCCGGCCCCCGCCCGCCGGCGCCGAAGGAGAGAAAAGCCGACTCACTAGGCTGCCCTCTCACGCCCCCACTCCACTGCCATCAGCCCCGCTGCGGCTCGCCGGCTCCACCGCCGAAGTCACTTCCTGCTTCCCTCCCGCACACGTGTCCCCGCCGCAGGCCCCGCCCCGCGGCCGTGACTGGCAGGTCCCGCCGGAAGAATAAATTCTCTGGTTCACAGCCTCCTGCGGGCTCGGGAACAGGTCGGGCGGGTAGAGCAGAGCCTGAGGCCAAGCGCCTGGAGCGTTCCGCAGTACAAGCCACTGCAGTCTTATCGGAAGCCACAGAATCCCAAGGAAACAGACTCTGGAACGTCCCTGACATCATGCCCTGAGGGAGCGGATCAAACGTGTTGGGGAGGGTCTGGGGGTGGGGGTGCAGGAGGGGATGGGGGGGCGGGGGAGGCTGGAATCTCCCACCATCAGCATCATTCTCTAGGTCTCTGGCCCTCAAACCACAGCTCCCAGCAGAGTCACCAGAAGGATGTCAAAATGCAGAAAGCTAGCCCCACCGGCGTGGCTCAGTGGTTGAGCATCGACCTATGAACCAGAAGGTCACAGTTAGATTCCCGGTCAGGGCACATACCCCAGTTGTGGGCTTGATCCCCAGTAGGGGGCTTGCAGGAGGGAGCTGATCAATGATTCTCTCTCATCATTGATGTTTCTCTCTCTCTCTCTCTCCCTCTCCCTTCCTCTCTGAAATCAATAAAAAGACATTAAAAAAAGAACAAACACACAGAAAGCTAGCACCCTGAGAGGTTCCGGTTCTGGAAGTGTGGGTGCGGCCCGAGGCTTTCTGTTCTGAACTAGGGTCACTCTGAGAACCAGGGCCCAGGTCAAGAGCGTTGCTCTCTGAGCCTTCTATAAAAAGACCAAAGGGCACCGCTGCTGGATTTAGCCAAAAATTAAAACAGGATGCTTGGTTAAATTTGCATTTCAGATCAACAACAAACAATGTTTTCGTGTCAGTATGTGCTGTGCAGTATTTGGGACACACTGTGCTAAAAAACATGTCATATTTGCTGTTCATGAGAAATTCGGATTGAGTGTGACATCCTGTGTTTTCTCTGACGACCCTGCCAGTGGGTAACGTGGGCGGAAGTATGGCCCCTGATCACAGTGGCCATGACCGGAGGGTCCAATAGGAGCAGGCCTCTTTTGCCCAGTCACTCACACTGATGATGGCACCACATCCATATACTGTGTCCGGATGATGGCGTGGTGACCGTCAGACCTGGGAGAGAGCCAGACCGGCTGTGCTGGTCAGCTGTGGCTGCCGTGAGAAAGTTCTGTAGTGTATAAGCTACCCAGTCTGCAGATTTTGGTACTGCCAGTCCCGGGAGGGACACAGCAGACACCTGCTGGGGGAGCCTAGGATTTGGGAAGGAGGAATCCCAATTCCTAGTGGGAAGGAGCAACTAGGCAAGAAGAAAGCAGGGCCCCCTCAGGAATCAGAAACCAGCCGGCCAGTACCTGAGGTTTCCGGTTTTCCAGGGGCCTATGAAATGATTAAAACAATAAAAAATATTGTATCTTGGACTAAAAAAAAAAAGCTGTAGCAATTTAAATTAATAAATGTTTAACTCAATGCCTATTAAACCTTGTTAATTGTTGACTTTGGTATTCATAAAAATTTAATTATGTTCGGAAAACAATCTGAGGCTTAGCTTTTCTCACTTCGAGAGAACTCCTTACTATGCATAATAATGGCCAAGAAACCCAGCCAATCGTAAATTAAACAAGCTTAGAGCCAAATCATTTCAAAAGCGAAATTATTAAAATCTGATTATTTTTATGGGAGGAGGGAAGGACTGGATGTGGCACGAGAGAGTGTTTTAACATGCTTGGTGCACGCCGGGGTGAGATCTCCAAAAAGCAGGGGTTCTTTAGGGGCCTTCAACGATCTGAAGAGGCCCCAGGGAACACGGAAGGAGGCAGGCTTCCTCTCACCGGGAACCCACGGAGGGCAGGATGGTGGGGAGGGAAGCCCCCTCAAGCACAGAAGAGAAGGCAGGGAGGTGGTCCCTCAACCGTCTATGGTCAAAAAGAGGAGACCTCAAGGCTCTCCAGACCCCCCTCAGACTAAGCTGGGTGACAAGACCAGGACTGGGAATGTGGCTGCTGTAATGAGTTCATCTGATTAGTCCTGTGTAGTTGATTGAATGGTGGCCCCAAAAAAGATCCTAACCCCTGACACCTATGGATGTGTCCTTACTTGGGGAAAGGGTCTTTATGGGTGTAATTAAAGATCTTGAGATGAGATCTCCCTGGGCTAGCAGTACCTAAGTCCTATGGCACATGGACTTGTAAAAAAGAGAAGGGGAGAAGGCAGGACACAGCACAGGAGGCCATGTGAAGACAGAGGCAGAGATGGAAGTGATGGGGCCACAAGGCAAGGAATGATTGGAGCTGGAATAGACAGGGAAGGATTCTTCCTTAGAGGAGAGAGAGAGAGAAAGAGAGAGAGAGAGAGAGAGAGAGAGAGAGAGAGAGAAAGGCAGGCAAGAGGGAGGGAGGAAGCCATCTCTCTGTGCTAATGGGAACTATCTCAACCTAACAGGCAATTCAGCTCATGAAACCCGACAACCAGGGGTCTGTGCTGCCTGTCACTACTTGAGCCAACTAAGCAGAGACAAGGTTGAATCATATATGAGCGTTTATTCCAATCCTGCCGGCCGTACGGGAGAGCGGCAGGTCATCCACAGAAATCTGCTCCCCTCCCCATAATCCAGCTGCTTATATTGGGTAGAAGGACACAGATTACATGGGAAAGTAAGTATTACAGGCATGGGGAAGTAAGCCAGGTATAATGATTACGGGTTACAGGCAACGTGGGTTTGGGGCGGGGGCAGGGAGACCTGCAAGAGAGGATAATACAGAAAGCGTCACACGCAAACAATCATTTACCTAATTTAACGGCATGATGGAGTCTCCAAATCGCAGGGTGCCCTCTGAGCTTGCTAATGGGGTTGGCCCGTCAGGGTGATTTCCCAGGGATATGCCTAATACAACGACTTAAAAGATGGGGGGAAAGATATTGATCACTCTAACGCTGCACAAAAGGATAATTCAACAAATTACAGAACATAAATACAGTGGGCTTCACGCAGGGCATCAAAATGATAAATACCCTCACAGCATAGGAAATACCAGTATTAATGATACTGTATTTTGTGGAAAAAGCAATAAACAAAATGTCATTTGTTATTACAATGGTAAAAAAATGCATGTTACAGAAGACTGAAAGGGAATTCTAGAAGTTAAAGCAGTTGAGACATGGGATGATGAGAGTGTAGAGGTTTTTCCCTTTCTATAATATTATGTCCCTTTCATAATTTTAAAGTATGCTAATGAGGTGTAAAAGAAGGTGAATATAGAAAACAAGGCTCATTGGGCTGAAGTAAAAAGACCTCAAGTCAGTATTGGAACTCCTGACTCTCAGCCCAAGATTCTCAGTTAACAAAAGAAAGGCCCAAGTATATATATGGGTAAAATAGCACCATGTTAGAAAAACTCGCCATCACCCTAATATGTGTGGCTTTCGTTCACTCTGGAAACGCCCACAGTACTGTGTTAAGGCTATACTTTCAGGGATCATTTCTATAGTTCGTTACTAGAGAAGTTTCTCTGATTGTGTAGAGCACCGAAAACCATGAGGAGGAGGCACAGTGTTCTCTCCTGAGCATGAAGCTGGCTCTTGGTGTTGCTTCTGCAACTGTCACTTGCCATTGATGATCGTTCTTGTCTTCCTTTGGGAGGGCAAGAGGGAGAGGACGCAGTCTGAGTGGTTTCTTTAAAAAAAGAAAAAGAAAAAAAGAAATGCCCACCCTCGCCAGTTTGGCTCAGTGAATAGAGCATCGGCCTGCAGACCAAAGGGTCCCGGATTCAATTCCGGTCAGGGGCATGTACCTCGGTTGCTGGCTCATGCCTGGCCTGGGCCCTGGTTAGGTCTCGTGCAGGAGGCAACCAATCAATGTGTTTCTCTCATATTGATATTTATTTCTCTCTATCTTTCCCTCTCTCTTCCACTCTCCCTAAAAATCAATGGAAAAATATCCTCGGATGAGGATTAACAAAAAAAAGTAAAAAATAAAAATAAAAGAGATGCTGTGCTTATATCCAGAGCCACTTGGATGTTTCAAACACCCGGCTCTTTAGAAAGCCAGGTTCCCTTAAAAATTTCCACGATTTGTTTTAATCAATCACTTCCCCAGCATTTGCTTCACCTCATTAGCTCTTCCACAGGCCAGCTGCAGAATGAGGTACGCAGTCTCCTTATCACAGGAACCAAAGCCCTAAGGAAGGGCCCTGCCTCCCCCACCCCCAGCCCCCGCCCCCAGGAGCCACAGGGCCTGCCTGTCACGTCGCTTGCCTCCCAGTTTCATAGACAGATGGTTGGCGGGGCTTTGATTCAGACAGAACATCTGAGCCCTGAGATGCCCACAGATGTGTGTGCCCCCATCACCTACCAGAACGTCTCAAATGCTCCCCAGATACAGCCCGGGAACCACAGGTCCTCCTCGTCCTGTCAGCCCCAGAAAAATACAAAATACAGGGCCCTGGACACCGACCCAGCTGCCGTCACGGGGACACCTGACAGGTGGACTTCGGAATGTTGTCTCCCAAGGTGCCTGCTGGGGTTGAGAGGACGTGCCTCGTTCTTCCAGAACCTTCTATAGCCGTGGGGAAGCACTATGACTTGTTAATACTAAAATCTGCTTTGTATTCATTTTAACAAGCATCAGTTATCTAATAAGTAATCATCTCTCTGCTCACTATAAGTCACCTATTATTATTTCTCTAATAATGATATTTGTCCAAAAAAATCGTTTGCGTGTTTTCAAATAAACTATGTTAAGTGCGAATTAATTCTTGGCCCTGGTCAGGTAGCCCAGTTGGTTAGAGCGTCGTCCCCCTATGTCAAGGTTGTGGGTTCGATCCCCAGTCAGGGCGCACACAAGAATCAACCAATGAATGAATAAATAAGTGGAACAACAGATCAGAGTTTCTCTCTCTCCCCTTTCCTCTCTCTCTCTCTCTAAATACCAATCAATAAATAAAAGAATTAATTGTTCTCCCCATTTTTAATCATCAAAGACATGCGCATGTAAGTACCAACCAGAGCTCCGGATCAACACGAGCCGCCAGCCACCGACCCAAGAGGCTGGCACTCCCACTCCGGCCCAGAGCAAAGAAGCTGGACTGAATCTGCCTTTGCCTCGTTTGTTCTTGGGAACATTAGCAAATGATGAACACACTACCAGGCGGTCCCTCCAGCTCAGGAACCCCAAGCTGGGACTCCGGCTGCAGGGGGTGGAGCATAAGAGAAACACACAGCCCTTGGCTCGGAGAAACCAGGAAAGCAATAATGTCAATACATCACGCAAACCAGGTAGCTGTGTGAGTAGCTCCCAACCCTGCCCGTTGCCGTTCTAACAGGGACGCGAATTAGGTTTTCCAACCTAAAGGGAATTGTAACAAATGTGTGCGCTCCCTCTGGTGAGTAGAAGAGACAGTAAATATTTGTCAAACAAATGAGTGGTGACCTAGGTTTTTTTGAGACTTACTTTTTGCAGGGCACATTCCCAGACAAGACTTCTGGCACGTGATCTCACAAAAACCCCTAAACGCAGAAGTGACGGACGAAGTAAGTGCAGCTGCTGCCCCAGGAGGCTGCTGAGCCTGGGGTGACAGGGCTGGAGGGGGTTCTGGGGAGGAGCTCGCTCTAAGATGGTCTCCCTTCTAAAGTACTTATTCATTCTCTTCTCTCCAAGTGGCTTCCCCGTGTTTGAAACTTTGTCGGGCCAGATGGGTGACTACACAATTGGAAACCAGGGCCACTCGGATTCGATGCAGAAGTCCGAGAGCAGAGAGCGTTGAGGGCTGGAGGAGTGGAGGGGTCGGGAAGGCAGAGAGGAAAGGAGAGGGCTTTCTTGACAGAGAAACCATTCAAGCAAAGGCCCAGGGGCAGAAATTAACCAGGAGTGTCCGGCCAAGCTCATGGGAACGGGCCAAGCCATGTGGTGGAAGGTTAGACAGTGAGCTCTACTCTGACTCCCCAGCAAACCCCATCTACACAGACCTTCCGTCTAGCACGCTGCCCTTTACTGTATAAAATCCGGGGCCTTTTAAAGAAAAGATCCATGTATATTCGTCACCCACTGAGAATACAAGCTCCTTAAGAGAGGTCAATGGGGGCAAATGGAGACATATGTAATACTTGCAACAATAAAGAATTTTTTTGAAAATGAGTGTAGAAATACCTCAGGCTTTTTGTCTATCAATTACAAAACGTATCTCCTCGAGGGCAAAAACCTGGAGAACTCTACCAGCCAGAAATCCCTGAAAGCTGCAGAGCTGCACGGCCTGCTCAGAGGAGGGGTGCCCCTGGGGTCGGTGGCTACAGGGAGGGGAGGAGGAAAGTGGGGAGGTGGAGGGACCTCTGGCAGGGATATAGGTACCAGCCAAGGATGAGACACACACACAATGTGCCCCGCTATCAGGCCGTGAGGTTTCCTGGCTTCATATCTGCCTCTCTCCCCAGAACAGGAGAGAAACCAAAGCATGAAATAAAAAGTCTTCTTTCAGTCCCCAACGCGATGTGCTCAGAGCCTTCCTCATGAAAGGCCCAGCCAGGCCCTTCCCCTGGGTGACCAACCGTCCTGGTTTCAAAAGCCCAAGGGGTGCCAGAACTGGTTTGGCTCAGTGGATAGAGCATCAGCCTGCGGACTGAAAGGTCCCAGGTTCGATTCCAGTCAAGGGCATGTACCTGGGTTGTGGGCACATCCCCAGTAGGAGATGTGCAGGAGGCAGCTGATCGATGTTTCTCTCTCATCAATGTTTCTAACTCTCTATCTCTCTCCCTTCCTTTCTGTAAAAAATCAATAAAATATATTTATTTTTAAAAAAAAAACCCGAGGGGTTCCCTGAGATGGAGAGGGCTATGCCTGGTTCTTCTAGAACCTTCCACAGCCATGTGGGGAAGCACCATGTGGGGAGGCATGAGACCAAAGCAGGGCTGTTTTGGGGTTTCACTGGAACAGTCTGGACAAACCAGAATGAGTTGGTCACTCTCCATCCCATCACACGTGGGAAGGAGAGCTGACCATTCCTGCCCAGAGCTTTGCAAAGGGTTCTCCCATCATCCAAGTGTAAAAGAATCATAGGAGCCATAATCCCAGTCCCTCCACAGGCTCAGGAACCCCCGGGCCCGGGCAGCACCTTGTGACCCGCTCTGCGACCTATGCACTCACAGCACACGCTTCCCCAGGAACTCCCATTGCTGAGTCTGGTAGAGAAGCAAAATCTCCCCCCGACCTGATGAACCAGAGCCCACACTGTAACCACGTCCCCGGGCTAGTCCTCGCGAGCGAGCGAGCGAGCGAGCGTGTGCTGTTTCTTGTATTGTTTCAAGATCAGGGAAACCACCAGAAGTGCCCAGTGGGTGACAGCTTTTCATTAGCAAGGACAGCATGGCACTGCAGGAAGGCTGGGGTGGGCACTGCCGAGACTGTATTGGGTTTCCTCTCTTCCTTCTCATCTCCAGATCACCAAATGTTTTAAGTGCTTTCCAGGCACACCCACTAACAGACAACCCAGGTTCCCATTCCACGTCTTAACACATCTTTTTTAAACATATTTTTATTGATTTCAGAGAGGAAGGGAGAGAAAGAGAGATAGAAACACCAGTGATGAGAGAGAATCACTGATCGGCTGCCTCCTGCACGCCCCACACTGGGGATCAAGCCCGCAACCTGGGCATGTGCCCTGACCGGGAATCTAACCAGGACCTCCTGGTTCAGAGGTCAACACTCAACCACTGAGCCACGCTAGCCAGACAACATCTTGAAAACAAGAAGCAGGAATACAGTGATTCTCATGACGAATCTACAACTCCTGTAAAATAATTTGTCATTGAGACTTTGCACAGGTTCACACTGACCTTTCACCTAACGTCGTCGTAATCGACAAGTGTTCATAGTCTTTCCACGTGGCCAGGAAGCCTCAATGGGGGACCTGCAAGAGAGGATAATACAGAAAGCCTCACACGCAAACAACCATTTACCTAATTTAACGGGATGATGGAGTCTCCAAATCGCACGGTGCCCTCTGAGCTTCCTGATGGGGTTGGCCCGTCAGGGTGATTTCCCAGGGACATGCCTAATACAACGACTTAAAAGATGGGGGGGGGGGTGAGGGGGGGCTGTCCTTGCTGACAGGATGCCTACTTAGCAGCACCAGGCATCCTCCCACCTCTCCCTGTGGTGACAACCATCAGTGCCTCCAGCCACTGCCCAGGGTCCCCCAAGGGGAAAAGAGCCCCTAGTTGAGAACCACCATCTCAGCTGAAGAAGAGACGCTCTTAAGGCAATAGGGACCGGGGGAGGCATTCGGGCGCTGCTTCCGCCAGGGCAGGGCGCTCATTAAAGTTTCAAAAACTAGGCCAAGCTGATCCCTGCAGGCTCCTGGAGAGAACCATCCGGGTGACCCCGGGCCCACCCGGATGAGGGGACGCTTTCTGTGGATGACACTCATGAGGACAAACAGCCCCTCGGCCTCCAGCTCCACCGCCTGCCCTTCCGCGTTCAGCCGCGAGGTATCATTTAACCCACAGCGCACAGGGAAGACCTAGTCCCTTCGTATCAGAGAGCCAGGCTGAAGGGAGCCCCGGGCTTCTAGCAGCATTAAGGGAAAAAAAAAGACTGGGTCGTTTCTGTAAGAACCACAGAAAGAAACCGTCTGGCTCACTCCAGAGCCTGGCTAGCATGAGACATAAGACCAAAGCAGTC